CCCCCCTGCCCCCGCGCCCCCCGCCCGCTGCTCCCCGCGCCCCAGCGGCGGCCCCTGTCGCGCAGGCAGCGCCCCGCGGCCACCGGCCATTTAAAGCGGCTGAGGCAGCAGCTCCGCGGCCGCGCTGGCGGCCTCCGCGGGACGGGGATGCGCGGAGGTGAGGGCAGGCACCCCCCGGGGTCGCTGCCCCGTCGGGGCCGGGTCCCGCCGCGCATCACCCCCCGGTTCTCTCGCCCGGTCTCTCGCCCGGCACTGTGTGCTCCTCGGGGACGCTGTTTGAGAATTGCCCCTTTTTTTCTTTTTTTTTTTTTTTTTTGGTGTAACTTCTCTTCGGGGAGGGACTTGTTCCCTCTTCTTTTGTTTTTTTTTTAAGACCTTCTTTCCCATCTGCGCTGATGCAGGGTTTGGAAGTGGAGTTCCTGGAGAGTGAACCTGGCAGTGAGTGCAGATTTCCCTGAAAGCTGAGGCTGTTTCTTTATTCCCTAGGAGACTGAGAAGAGAGGGGACCCTGGATGCCAGCCCGATCTCCTCCGTTTTTTTTGTTTGTTTTGACTTTGAGGCAGATTTCCTCTTTCAGCTCTGGGAATTGACAGGTACAACCCCTGTAGGCACCTGTGCACGGCTCACAAACAAGACCAAGACCATGAAGCTGATATGTCAGTTCACCGGTGGTACGCCCTTCTATTAATTGCTATTAGAAAGTGCAACCTTGTAGCACAGTTATTGAATAATCATTAATCCATGGAGGATACACAAGCCCAAAGGTTAATAATAGGAATAACAATTAATAATATTGACCTTGCCAGCGGGCAGAGTATTTTTGTCATAGTTATTAAAAGGCACTCCTGTGTATACTACGTACAGTGGTGTAAATTTGGAACCAAGTACCAAATTACTGCAGCAACACCAGACATTAATTTACCCCATTATCTCCATGTTATCAAGCTTCTGACTTTTTCTGCCTTTAAAATGTATCATCCACTACTCTCTCATTTTAAACAGAAATCCTAAGTCTTTAATCAATTCTGACATTTCCACTAGAAAATAACATCTAGCTCTCTTACACAGATAAAAAATTACTTGCTTGCAGCTGATCTCTTGTAGTGCTTTGGACCTATTTGTTTCTCAGAGAAGACTTAGCTTTTTATGGTCTTTAGGTACCACGAGGTAATAAATAGAAAGTCAGTACAACGGGGGCATTCTCACTTTTATGAGTTCAACTCTCTGCTCCCTAGAGCTGCCTCCTCGCACAGCTACTCAGACTGACCGACTGACTAACCCCCATCCTTCCATTGTCACAGATCCATCTCCTTCCTTTCTATCTCACTCTTCTCACTGGCTGGTCAGTGAATCCTACTAATAACAATCATGTTTCATGTCTCAGAAATCTAATAATTGAGTTACTCATTCTTATAAATTGCAGCTAAGCTATTTGGGTTAGTCGTGTTATCCCCACTTTAAAGGCAGGGAAACAGAAACAGGAAAAATTAACACATTTGCCTGAGGCCACACATGGATTTAAGAGTAGATCCAAGACTGGGACTGAATTTAAACCAAGCGCCCTCTTAAAGATCCTCAAGTGCACTATGGAAAATGCTTCTTTAAAAAAGAAATATAACACAAACCTTATTTTTCATAGTTTTTTTTTTTATATTAGCCAAAATACACACACATTTTTTTAGATCACATTTCCTTTTCTAGCAATAAGATTTGTCCAGCTTTTTACAAAGTGTGGTGGTACCTTTCAACTACAAAGGGCAGTTTTACTTTGGAAACAAGAAACATTTAATATGAGATTGTGAGCAGTAATGGGAAGAGAATTGCTCATTATTAGGCTCCTGTAAGCAATGTTCGCTGGGTGTTACGGTGGAGTTACAGCAAAATATAATGCAAAGTCTGGTGTTAGTATAGGTGAGGTGCTACTGCTTACCTCATGTGCATCAGTTCTCACCATAGTGCTCCTTCAGTGCTTTCAGTGTCAAAATACTTAGCATGGGTCTAAGCATTGAAAAACATACGGGACAGCCATATACTGTGTTTGAGAGTTACGATTTATGTCATTAAGCAGTGAGTTTTACCAAGTTGTGTCATTCATGTCACTGAAGCAAGATGTATATTGCCTGCCCTTTAGCTGTGGCATGTCATCAAAGCTGTGTTATGGTATGACTGAGCACAGATGGCATGCCTAAAAAGCAGGTGTACAATACAACTTTCCTATTACTGACACGTAGATATTTCCTCTTCCTCAATGTCCACCCCCAGATGTTTGCTTGCCCAACCTTCTACAGGAACTACAGAAAGTCCTGCTCATCCTGCTCATCCCTGATGGCTGGAATTGTACAGTCAAACCATATACCGAATAAGTGTTCACATATATTTTTATGTATTTATGCTGAAAGCTCCATTCTGAGTTTTTTTAGAGTCCTAATTTGAGGGAAGTGGGTGCAGATCTCATTCAAATAATCATTCTCCAATACCATTAGCATTACCTGCCAAAAATGAAAGTGGCATATGAATCACAGTAACACAGCCACTCATGAATTCGTGGATTTAGAGCCTGCCAAGGAACACCAGAAATCCACATGATTTCAAAGTCCCACATGATTTCAAAGAGTTTTAGACACTTTGAACAATGCCTAAAAATACACTTATCCAAAGACCATCTAATTAATGACCCATCCTATAAGGACTACAGACATGTCCGATCCAAGTGAAGGACAATATTAACTGAAAATATTTCTGTACAAATCATTCTCTTTTCAGTGAGGTAGTGAAAGTGGTGAATCTGCTAATTGAAGCTATGTCAGAGGCCCTTCCTGAGATGCCCCTTACTGGAGTGCTACTGTGACATAATGATGTGGAAATACACTTTTGTGTGAGAAGAGCTATCAGATCCTCTGGGAAATATCACAGATGCTTTGCAGTTCCTTTCAGACATGTAAATACCTTTATGTTTAGACATGAGTAGACAGGGGTGGGAAGTGAAGTAGAGCGAGGAGTGAAGTGGGGTTAAAAGCATCCACGTACATCCAGGAACCAAATAAATACATGTGGGGGTTTTTTTTCTGTATCTGATGTTAGCGGGGGCTTGAATTGTTCATTATTAAGAAGAAATGCTGCATGAACGTGTGCTACTTGAGAGTTTTTATGTATTTATGCTGAAAGCTCCATTCTGACCCATGTTTGATAGAGAAGGCCATCTTCTGCCTGAAATTACAGACGATCAGCAGAACTCTCAGTAATGCTCAGATACTTATGTCATTCCCAAGTAATATGTACCTTATCAAGTAGGGTTTATTTCCAGCTTGTAGTATATGGCTAATGCTACAGCAGTGAAAAACACTACATGCCACCTAGTGCTTCTTATGGTTGCTTGCTTTCTTCATGGTCTGCTTTAAGCTAAGCATATCAGAAACTGAAAATAACATTTGAATCTTTTTTCCCTCTTAACATACAAAAGCAGCAGCCTAAGCTTTGTAATCTATTTATATGTTAGTACTTGTGAAACATAGCAAAAAAAACCTGCTTACTAGCATGGTCAACACATAGCTGTCTCAGCAGCTTGATGAAATGTTAAGACTTGGTTTGAGTAACTATGTTCCAACCCGTATTAGCCTTATTTGTTGGCAGTGAAAAAATACAACCATGAGTGGCCTTCTGTGGATATTTAAAATGCAAGTGGCCATTATCAGCTGTACCATAACCTTGTCTGATGTTTCATCTTGCTGGTGGCTCAGTGGAAAACAATCAGATGACTTTTTCTGAATGTGGGTGCTGCTTTCAGTGTATTTCGGCAGTCTTTTGATTATTCCGCTCTTTGTTCATTAAACACCAATCTCCTGAGCTTAAGTCTGTGCCGCCTCACTACCTGAATGTCTCTGCTGAAAATTTGTTCACTGAAATGGGCATCATGTCAATAATAATAAAGTCATCCATCCATTTCCAGAGTGGCTAAAGTTTCCTCCAATCATTCATTGAAGCTTCATGTTTCCAGGCCCTGACGCCACACAGTACCTCAGTCCATCAGCTTCTTTCCAAGATGGTAACTACCTTCTGCTCCAAACCTCTGCCACAGGAGAACTTTTGATAACCTAAAAAAGTAAACTGCATCCTGTAGATTTCCTCTTAAAACTTCTGCTTTACAGAAGAGAAGATCAACTTGTTGGAGGTGCATCAATGACATCAAACTCACTTCTGTTTTGCCTGACCACTCTCTCCATCCTCTGTCAGTATAAAATTATAATGATTTAAAGAATTGAAGGAGCTGTATTAATGTTTGTGTGAACCACTTTTCCTGCACATACTCTGTTCTTCTTTTCTCCATCCATTTGGTGTCTGGTTCGTCTTGGCTGCTTTTAAAAATTCTGTTGCCTCTAGTAAGGGACTGCCAGATTAAAATAGTGAAGAGAAACCAGGTGACTGTCTACTTTTACGAATACAGGTTGTGTATAATAAATTCAGGTTTTACATCTATGCAAATTAAATCATCATATGATTCTGACTACATGCATTTTTTATCAAATATGGCATATATTTCACAAATTATATTTAACTTATAGTCATGTTGCTAATCTGAATACCTAACTAGGAGTTACAAGGTGTGCCACTAGATCTTAGCAAATAGGCTTACGAAAACAGAAGAAATAAGATAAAATCACCTTTTTTTTCTTGCATTCCTGGTAAGGCCAGTGGAAAGGCTTTTCCTGATATAGGTGATAACATAAACACCTCAGCACTGAGCTGTTTAGAGACACAAGTACATCTTGCCATTATAAATGTAGAGATTTTGTAAAGGCCTAAAGAGAACATGTCCAGAATAAGGAAGTTTTAAAGCAATGTGTCTTTGGTCTGGAGTTTACCACATCTAGTTAGTAACACCTTCTGCTAATGGTTCTGTCATGGAGTGGAAAACATTAGTCACAACGTCAAAATAAACATTTTACTTCTGCAAAATTATATTTTCACCTCAGGAATATTGTGAAGTGAAAATAGGATTTATGCACAATTCTTCCTTGGGGGTTTATGCCCGGACAGGGCAGTTTTAGTGTAAAGGCCTAAGCCGTGGAATACGGTTCCCAGCCATAGGTGCACCATATTTTGAATAATCAATCTGTCAGCTGAGCTATAACAAGGAGTATGCTGTGAAGGTAACAACTCAATCCTTTCAATGTTAACTGTCCTCAGCAATTGCTGCTGTTTCTTTCATAAATAAAAAGACATTTTGGTGAGCACAAAGATGTCTGTCAATGCTTGTGTTTCAGTCAATAAGAGGGTCTGGATGGTGGGAAAGGTGGGACTTGGGTGGACATGTGAACAAACAGGTGTGATTCAGAAAAACCTCTGCTAAGCAGTTGCCTAAACCTCAAAGCACTGTGTTTGTCTGTCATGATTCATGCCTTGGAGTTAGTTCCTTTTGCGCTTGGGACTCCTGACTGGCCTTTCAGGAGTGCTCATGGCCAAGTCCTCTAGACCCCAGGACCACAGAATTCCTCTACCCAACTGTCCTGATCAGCTTGACCTCCCGGACAGTCCTGGAGCATGCCCCAGACTCCCTGACACAGCTGGCCTCTTGACAAAATGCAGCAAGGTCACACCACTAATAATGGTATTTACTCCCAGGAGCTTTTTTTTTTTTTTTTTTTTTGGTAGAAGCAGGACCCCAGGTGAGAAACGTGCCTCCTCTTCCCAAAGCTCCACTTTCCCCGCCTGCATTATAGGAGCTGCTTAAAACCGCATGGAAAAAGCTTCTCTCCAGGAGACGTGGCCACAGCACCCAGGTTAACACCTTCCTTCTCCGCTGGAGAAGACAACTTTGAGGCAGGGCAAAGTTCAGGCTGTTTTAAAAAAAAACAATTTTTTTTTTTTTTTTTTTTTTGAGGGGGGTGTTGTGTGTGTTCCACAACAATTTAACATAGCAAAGACAGAAATAATCCCAAGAAAATTCAGTGTGTGCCCTGGCCCTGGGAATAACCTAAACATTAGATTATGATCTAAGGAATCTTGAATTTGTTTGTGCTCAAGGGCACTGTTTCAGCAGAAGGGTCGAGACTGCCTTTTCTAAAATAACCATCAGCCTGATGGTCAGAGTCCTCCCTGGGGTGAGAGGAGTTGTGAATTGGGGCCTTTCAGGGCAGGAGAGATGAATCCCATGATTACGTGAGTGCTCTAATCACAAAGTTGTTATATAGAGGGAGATGGGAAGCCAGCTTCTCCTCCAGCTATGTTTTAATAAAACATAAGTTTTGAAGGAAAGATCACAGGAACCTATTTTCATAAAAAGAATCAGGGTGTAGATACTGAGTGGATGGAGGCATCTCTCAGACAGCCCTGGGCAGAGCCCTGTCTTTAGAGGTAACCCTCAGGTAGAGCCATGGCTTTAGAGGGAGGCAGGATTTTAGATTTGGGACAAACCTGGTTAATTCCAGTCAGCTTATGTCGAGGTCAAGACACATGGTGCTGGCTGTTTTCTAGGTTCCATGTACACCACAGGAAAGTTGTGCTTTTAAAACATGATTTTGGATACCTGGTAGGGGACCATGGGCTGAAAAGTGTGATGTTGGAGGACCAAAGTTTTTGGAGCACCAGAATCCTCTATAGGATTAAGCCATAAGCCTTATAAATCAGTATCTGTTTATTCATAACAGTTGGTTTCATATTAACACCAATATGTAGTATTTGCTGGTAACTGTTCTCTCAGTAGATTTTCTGGTCCATTTTTATTTTGTATCACAAAGGACAGCACAGGAAACTTGGACTGCATATTATTTATAATGAAAATTCTCACTGTGAGTGTTTCCCATTAGAAGCTGTAATGGCTAGCCTGGCTAGACACTCATATTGGTTTGAGTCCTGTGGGATAGAAGGCTAGAATTATACTTTCATGGAATTTAACTAAATTAAATTGAAAATACATACTAAAATTTTGACTTTTTTTTTAAAGGAAAAGTGTAATGATATTTAAAGATGCTTATTTCTCTTTTAAAATTATTTCATTTTACCTACTTGCAAGCTTCCAAAACCAGGGGACACTGTATTCCTCCTAAAAATTGTAACAACATGACAGTAGTCTGGTGCACAGATTTCCCCTCCCACCGCATAACTAGCTGCTTTTGCCATGTATAGGACGTATGGGCACAGTTCAGAATGTCTGTCCCATGCATGTTTCCTTCCTCAAACTTGCTTGATACAACTGAAGAGGAGGTTACAAAGCTGCCCTGGAACTCTTCCACTTGTGATCTGCATCCTGCAATATGGAATATTCTAAGTATCATGGGCTTTCCCTAGCTAACAAGCTGGTTATTCTGGCTATGCATGAAGATACAGATTTGGGTCTTAATTAACATCTGTAGTTTAATCAAACCATTTATGATCCTGAGAAATCTGAACTGTAGACTTTCTGGTTTTTCTGATGACAGACAAATACCATAAACAAAAAGGATCTAAAACAATATTTTAGTACATAAAGTGTTTGCACTAGCTATGGCTGTGGTAGCTTTTGTGGAAAGCTGGGAATTCTGAAGATCATATTTTTCAGCATCTGATGAAGATTTTAAAGATAATAGACATGAGAATAATACATTAGGAACCTCAAAAAAGGTTTTGGTGTTTAAGTTAAATCAGCATTCTATTTAATTTTACAGGGGCTAACTCTCCTACAGTGACAATGCTGTAAATCTCCAGCTAGGCCCAGTTTTATTATAAAAGAAGTTGGCCCAAAAGAGAAAATCTGGAATAAATTGCCCTGAAAGTGGATTGGCCTGTTTAGTCTGGTGACCTAGTGAAACAGTGCAGGACTTTATAATCTTCAGTGCAGACAGGTCTTCATTGTTGAAGGAAGCAGGAAGTGTAAAGAGGGTTGTAATTGCATATTCTTTAATAAGAAATATAATTGTTGCTTTCTCCAAACAGATCTCAGACAGATTTTAATAGTGTGCACGCATTGAAAAGCATCTGAAACACACCCTTCTACCCTAATTTGTTCATATACATTGATATATTCTAATGTGTTTACACCCTCTAAAAAATGTAGTCCACGTAGAGCATTTCTGATGGGCAGGGTTCCTTACTCTTTTTTTTCCTTTTAGATTGATATACAGAAATATAATAGAGCAAGATTCAGCAGGAGAAAAAAAGGTCCATTAGGTGCGTTTCTTTTGAAACTTCGAAGTTTCTGTCTTAAAATTAGGGCTTATCTTTGCCGTGATTATAGTGGTCAGTCTTTACTGCAATGTCAGGGCCATGCAGTGTTTTGTATTCATTGAAATAGTTCCAGTTGTGCAGCATGTTTTAAAAAAATAAAAAAACCCCTGCATTCTATTTTCTTTCAGGAAACTTCGAATTAGGGATGCACATTTGTGAAGTGGTATGATTTTCTCTGCTGAATTTGAAGGGATGACATCTTGTGTTAAACTACTATCAATATATATCTTGGTCAATATGAGGAGAAGTGGTGTTGTGCAAAGCCTATCGTGACTTCTGGATATGAAGTTCAGCAAAAGCAGACATGAGCTTCTCCTAACACAGCTTTATCTTTGGTGGCTGAAATTTGGTTTGTCTTTTTTCTTCATGTTCTATACTCTTGTTCTAGTCATTACAAAACAAGTAGTCATCTTAACTGGCATTAGGTGTATGGCTTCCCATGAACCATGGCAACTGAGGCTTGAGAACTATGAACAATTGTTTAGTTTTCATCAAAATTTCTCAATCTGCCATATGTTTGAAATGAGTTCACTAGTGACTGTCCTTCAGCAGTTGTGCTAAATTTGTATTGTTCTGTGGGACAACTTTTCTTCAGGACTACTGAGATCACAGATCTATATTAAATTATTTTTATGTCCATTGAGTATCATATTTTAAAAGCCTTGAATTCTTCTTTCTGTGAAATGCGAAGTTAGGAAAACATTAGCTTTTCACCCCAGGAGACTCACACCTTCAGTTTATTTGTAGAAAAGACACACCATGAATAGTGGACTTGTAAGGTTCTCCATGATGACCCAACTCTATAATAATCAGCTCAAAAATGTTAAAGATTTCAGGCTTTGCACCTATAAAGCTCATGTATTTTTTTGTTTTATTACATGCACAGACCAAAAAAAAAAAAAAGGTGCTACATTCTCTTGTAAATTTGACATTGGCTTTAGAATAGAAATACTCATCCTGATAGTAACTGGTGTGAGTTCCTCAATTCCTTTTATATCTTCCACTAATCAGTCACCCCCTGACAAAGGCTTCACCTGCTCAGGTGACCTATGCTTGAAATATCCTACTTCTAGTCCCTGAGGGATATTCAGTATGGTCTATCTGATCAAGGAAAAGTAGGACAGTCTGCAATATCTACAGGGGTTTAGAAAGAGATTTTATAAAAAAAAGGATATCTGCAGAAAGAAGAAAAGGACCATTACTGTTTGCCATAGTTCATATGATTTTTCTTTTTTAAAACCACATGTTGAGGTAAATTGTATCTGTGCAAGCAGGAAAATGGAACCGTGGTTTGCTACTGCCTGGCAATATTCATGCAGTGACTCAAGTCAACAATACTGAGGTTGAGAAGAACACAAACCAAGGAGGTTGCCCATGCAAATGATACATCCTGGTTGCTTCCTCATGAACTCTTCCATGAAATCTTGCTGCACCCATCTTGATTGCATATGCTAATCCTGGCTTCTTAATTGACTCATAACAGATTTATCTGGATTTCCAACTTCCTCTTCTCTTTAGAATGTTAATTAAAAGAAAAACGATTACACTTAAGATATTCATGACAATAACAGAGTTTTCTGCTAGAGGTGTTCAGAGCCAAATTTTGCTTTTATTTATATGGGAGTATTTAAAATTAATGAGCTTGAGTCTATATGGTGCTAGGGACCTTTTGATACCTGCATAGTAAAAAATGGCCTTAGCAGGAATGGAAGACAGTTCATATAGTATATTTCCCAAATTTTACCTGATACAGTAAAACTGAGAAAAAGCCCCCAGCTCTTAGAATAAAATATATATATAACAAGTCAAAACCCAGTTTGTTTGGATGAAAATGAGCCCAGAAGTGCTCACGCAGACTTGTATATTCTCCCTTTCTTTCCCTAAATCACTCACTGTCACTATTAGGCCTGCAGAAGTCAGGAAAAGGAGGGCTTCAATATTTTCCATATGGAATATGGAAATTTTGCAGCATGTCCTAGCTTAAACAGGTAATTGTCCTTTGTCATTTCTTATGCTAGATGCGGAACTTGTT